GTTCGCACAAGGAGGGGGCTGGGTGGATCCAGCAACTCAACTGGAGCAGTTAACCCTTGGACACAGGAGCAGGGCCATCTGGCAGTTCTGCTTCTTACTAATTCTATGATTTCAGGCAAGTTACTTAACTCTATCCTTAAAATCAAGATAATGGAAGTTGAGAGACTCAGTGGGTGAACACATCAAAGCCTTCAGAGCTGTGTCTGGTGCCCCCTAAGCATCCAGAAAACGTTAGCTATTATTATGAGCCAGCTGGGTGTGCTTATAAACAACGCCTTACACCCCAGCAAACTGGTGCTGACACACACACACACACACACACACACACACACACACACACACACACAGCCACAGTTTTATATGGAAGAGGGTGAGCAACTGTAACCCATTTTCGAGATGGAAAGGATCTCAATGAAGTCTAGGGCATTCGTTCACATAGCAACAGCTAGTTTCTCTGTGTCAGCCACTGCCTCTCCTCCAGCATCAAATTTACTGCACTAGACGTAGGTCAGTAAAGTAGGTAGGGTGTTTGCCTAGCATGCAGGATATCCTGGGATCAATCCCCAGCATGGAAAAAATTGTATGTGTGCTAAATGTTTATAATCCCAACACTTGGGAAGTACAGGCAGAAGTACCAGAATTCAGGCTACCTTTGGCTGAGTTTGAGGCTAGCCTGGAATACAGGAGGCTTTGTTTCAAAGGGGGAAAATTAATCCATTTTAAGAGAGGGCTAAACAAAAGTTCCCACATGGTTCTCATCTTCAGCAAATCTGGTGAAGTGCTTGGATTATGAGATACTAGATACATCTTGCAGGTTCCAAGTGCAGATATGATGCTTTTTTTTTTTTCAAGACAGGGTTTCTCTGTATTGTTTTGGAAGCTGTCCTGGAACTTGCTCTGTAGACCAGGCTGGCCTTGAACTCACAGAGATCTGCCTGCCTCTGCCTCCTGAGTGCTGGGAATAAAGGCATTGGTGCCACCACCACCTGGTGCAGATACGATACTTTAAGGGGATACTATCATCCAGTGGCAGAACAGCATAGTGCAGACTGACCTTTTTAACTGGGGACACATCCAGTATGTCACTTAGGGACGGGGCCCTAAGGCAAACTACTTATCAATGTTTCATCCATAAGATGGGGCTAATGACAGTACCTACCTCAGAGATGTTGTGAGAATTAAATTAGGTATCTGGGTGAAGTGTTTGGAATAGTGTCTGCCACATGGTAGCTATTATAAGGCATGGCTAATATGCCCAGATATGTAGACATGCATCAGATGTAAGGGGTGTGTGTGTGTGTGTGTGTGTGTGTGTGTGTGTGTAGTCAGATTTGATGCTCCTCACCCCAGGATTGGTTCTGCTAACATCGTGGGTGGCATCTGTCTTGTGGGGAGACTGCCACCTGCTCCTTCCCTCTGGAAGAGCTTTCCTGAGCCAGGGAATTCCCTCCCATAGCGACCGACAGTTACTCCAGGCATTCTGATGCCAGATGCTCTGCCTACAACAGCGCAGTGAGAATTAAAACTTTACTTAGTGGCCCAAGCTGGTCTAGGAAGTCAGGCAGTCTTAGAAATTGGGGGTACCTACTTAGAAAGGGTGGGAGTGGGAGGGGAGCATGGACATGGAAGGGCTGCTCGGCTGAGGGTGGTGCTGCAGACAGGGGAAGGGCGGGGGCCCAGGGAGAACAGGCAGGATGCCAGGGTGTCTGCCAGCCTCCAGGACGCTCACTTTGGCTCCCGCCCTCCAGCCGGCAGCAGGGAGCAGGGAAGCTTGTTTTGTTTAGGCGTTAACTGGGCAGGCTGTGGGAAAATAGGCAGGCTTCCTAAGCCAAAAAGGGCCCACTTCCTTCACAAGGCAGCTCGTGTAGTTGACAATGCTGCCACTTCCTTATCTGCTGTCCCTATCCCACAATTACATCTTTCTCCTTTGGTCCCTACCTGACTCTTCTCTTCCAGTTGAGCGTGAGGGACACCTTCTCCATGGAAGGGGCATATATTGGTAGAACTCTGTGCTTCCCAGGCTGGGCCTTGGAAAAGCTACTTGCTGGAACCCTAGTGTTACAGATGAGGAAACTGGCTGAAGGAGAAGCAGGGACTTCCCAGGTGCTCATAGTAAGAGAGACTCAATTTTCCCCCATAGGAATAAAAAAGTAAAATTAATTTATGTGTCTCAGTGTTTTGTTCATACGTATATCTGAGCACCACTTTTGTGCCTAGTGCCTGCAGAGACCAAAAGACGGTGTTGGATACCCTGCAACTAGAGTTACAGACGGTTATGAGCTGCCATGTGGATGCTTGGAACTGAACCAGGGTCCTTTGCAAAAACAGCCAGTGCTCTTAACCATGAGCAATCTCTCTAACTGGGGGGATTCTTTTTATTATTAAAAATGTTTCTTCTTTTTTTTTTTTTTTTTGAGAGAGTTTCTTTGTGTAGCTTTGGAGCCGGTCCTGAAACTCACTCTATAGACCAGGTTGTCCTCAAACTCACAGAGATTTGCCTGCCTCTGCCTCCCATGTGCTGGGAGTAAAGGCAAATACCACCAAATTGTCCTTAACTTCTTTTTCAAAAGATTTATTTATTTATTTACTAACCACATATACAATGTTCTGCCTGCATGTATGGTTGCAGGTCAGGAGAGAGCACCAGATCTCATTATACCTGGTTGTGAGTCACTATGTGGGTTCTGGGAGTTGAACTCAGGACCTCTGGAAGAGCAGTTGGTGCTCTTAACCTCTGAGGCACCTCTCTAGCCCCTGTCCTTAACTTTTTTACATGTTTTATCTTGTGTGCAAAGCATGTATGTGGAGGTCAGAAAGCAACTTGTAGGAACTGAGTTCTCTCTTCTACCATTCTGGTCCTGAGGATCGAACTCAGGTTGTTAGGCTTGGCAACAGGCACCTATATCCATCAAGCTATCTTGTTAGCCTGGCCTTCTTTTCCTCTTCCTTCTCTTTTTTAACCGCAGAACTAGAACAACCTGGACCAGCGCAATTGGAACCACTTTGCATAAATGGTCCCATTTAATTCCACCATAACTCTGCTAACATCCATTCTCCCCTTTTGTCAGAAGAGAAACCATTAGAAAATGGCTTTAAAACTGTCAAGAACCCAGACTGAGGTAGAAGAGGGGGTATGCCATCTCACTCAAGGGTTTTTCTTGATCCCTGAACTATCATGCTCCCACCCACCTGATTGTTCTACTCCTTGATACCTGGTTTTCAGAGCTGTAATCACAGCGCAGCTCCCGGTGGAAGCTCCCATTGGCACCTCTCACATAGACAATCACTCAGCTTTCTCTGCTGTATCCAGGACTGGCAGTCATTGGCTCGCATGCCCACTCAGCTCTTTATATTTCATACACCTGACATTTCATTTAGCCCGCACAGCAGTCCCCCTTAGAGGAAGACAGGGAAAAATATCTGTTATTATCATTCTACAGAAAAGGAAAACAAGGTTAAAGTGACATGCCTGGAAACAAGTACCTGGCAAAGGTAAGGTTAGAACTTTAGTTTCATGTCTCCTGATGTTAAAATCACGTGTCTGCCAGCTCCAACTGTAGCCCTGGTATTGATGCTCCTGTTCTTATCTCCTGAGCTGTAAGCCCCAAATGACCAGGCAGTTTCTTCTTTCAGTGCCTGTACCTTAAAGACTTGCCTGTGGGTTTAGATCTCTGTTACCATCTGATAGAACTGGGCTTCTGCCTTCCTGGTCTTGCAGGTCCCAATCACTGTTGTGGCCTTTGGTCATGCATGGAGATTGGTAGTATCTTGGGACAGAGCCTTGGGATCACCCCAGAGACTTACTTGAGACTAAGACCTTCTTGAGGAATAGTTGATGGAATCTAAGGCTTGGTTATGCTACCACCTCACTGTGGGGAAAGCCCTTTGCTCTGTTCTGGTGGTTGGACTGGGATTCTGTCTTGAGAAGACAGGTATACTCCCCAGGCTGACCCAAGGACTGTGGTGAGGAAGTCCATTCAAGGAAGAACAGAGAATGGCAGCAGAAGTGGGGGAATGACCAGCATCTGGATGTGCTGACACGAATTCCTGAGCAGACAGTGCCAGGCAGGTGGGAGGATAATGACAGAGAAAAAGTAGACAGTGGTGTGTGTGCGTGCATGCGTGCGTACGTGCGTGCGTGCGTGCGTGCGTGTGTGTGTGTGTGTGTGTGTGTGTGTGTGTGTGTGTGTGTGTGTGTCCCCGTCCCTCAGTGCCGCATGGGCAGGTGGATGAGAGAGGCATCTATTGTAGTCACGAAAGGGCTTCCATACACCTTTCTTCCAGGAATTATGTAGAATATCTGTGGCACTGGCCTTCCAGTTCCCATTTACATACCCACACCAGGCTAGCCTTTAATCTTGTCTGACTTTTGCTTACTATTAGAGTCAGAGGAAGCCAGAGACTACGGCTGACTATCCTTTATCGGTTCTGTGACCCTGGGTAGCTTATATCATGTTTGAGCCTCAGCCTGTGAAAATGGGGCCATATGTACTATGGGGGGATGTTGTGAGAGTGGAAGAAATGTAAGAAGCATGCCCATTTCAATGTCTGAAGCAGGGAGGCACAATAAATGCTAGCTGCTGATTTCTTTCCAGAGTAAGACTTCCACATATGGTCCCTTCGATGGAAAGGAGCCAGTCCCTGAATGTACAGCCCCAGGGATGGAAACTATCCCTGCCCCCTTCTCCCTCCAGGGATTGGTCTGCCTGGAAAATCTTCATTGGATCTGCAGAGATCCGTGTTAGTTGTCTCTCAGGCACAGAGCATGGTGCTCTGCAGATTTCCCTTCAGTAATCTCAAGAGATCTTACTAGTAGCACTGTGCTTGCATTACAGAAGCAAAACTCTGCAACTCCCTATACTTGTTGGAAGAGGTATATATAAGTCAGGCTTCCAGTGATCATAGAAATCCCTGGCTCCATCCTGTATTTTAGGCTCCATTCCTGTTTCATTCCTTGGTTACCTTTTTGGTTTTGTGACATAATACTTGACAGCAGAGACTTAAAAGCAAAGAAAGGTTTATTTTGGCTTACGGTTTAAGGGGATACAGACCATCATGGAAGTCATGTCAGTGGGAACAGGAGGTGGCTGGTTACATTATACCTGTAGTCAGGAAACAGAGATTAAAGCTGGCACTCAGCCTGCAACTTCCTTCCCCACTTTTCATTCACTCCGGGACCCCAGTCCATGGGTATGCTGATCACAGTCAGGGTGGATCTTTCCTCTTCAGTTTAACCTCTCTGGAAACAACCTTAACAGACATGCCTAGAGGTGTGTCTCCTAGGTGATTCCAAATCCAGTCAAGTTGATAATAAAGACTGACTCATCACACTGAGAGAAATCTCCCAATTCTTTTAAATATTCTTCGTAGAGGACAATGTCTAACAGAAGGATTTGTATTCTGGTTCCAAACCCATCACTTCAGGGCAAGTCACATTAATCTTCTTTGGGTCTTTGGGTCCTTATCTGTTGAAATGAAGGAAATAATATGCCATAGGGTTGTTATAAACATTAGTCTGAATAAACCATAAGAAATTTTAGAATTTGGCCAGGCTTGGTGGCACACACCTTTAATCCCAGCACACCAGTGGCAGAGGCAGGCAGATCTCTGTGAGTCCGAAGTGAGCCTGGTCAATAAAGCTAGTTCCAGGACAGCTAGGGCTGTTACACAGAGAAAACTTGTCTCAAAAAACAAACCAAAACCAAAACCAAGCTCCCCCAAAACAAAACAAAAAAGAACAAATAAACCCAAACTAAAAACCCTTTATGATTTGAAAAAGGCATGTTACAAACTAAATTTTTTAAAAAAGGTTTATTTGGCTGGGTAGTGGTGGTCCATGCCTTTGATCTCAGCACTTGGAAGGCGAAGGCAGAGGGAGAGGCAGAGGCAGAGGCAGGTGGTTCACTGTGAGTTTGAGGCCAGCCTGGTCTATGGAGCAAGTTCCAGGACTGGCTTCAAAGCTACAGAGAAACCCTGTCTCAAAAAACCACAAAAAATTATTATTTTATGTGTATGAGTGTTTTGCTTGCATGTATGTGTGTATCACATATGTCTGGTACCTATAGAGGTCAGAAGAGGACATCAGATCCCTTTGGAACAGGAGTCACAGATGGGTGAGCCACCATGTGGTATGCAGGGAATTGAACCCTGGTCCTCTGCAAGAGCAACAAGAGCTCTTAGCTGCTAAGTCTACTCTCCAGCCCACTTTCTCTTACTTTCTGTTAGTTATTTATTTGAGACAGGGTCTCTGTAGATAAACTGGGCTGTCTCAAACTCATGATCTCTCTGCTTGATCCTCCCAAGTGCTGAGGTTGCATTAATTAGATGTTTGATACCATGCATAGTATCATTTACTTTATGTTATAGATAAGCTCCAACATCCACTGAATGCACAGTAACTCAGTGGTGTAGGTTAGATTCCAAATCTTCCAACATCCAGCAACTTTGTATCCATGGAAGTGAAGGATACTCTCTGAGCCAGAGCAGCTGCACCTAGCACTAGCACATAGCAGAGTTCAGCTGGCCACCTGCGGTGTGCAGCACACTGCGTCTGGGCAGTTGCTGTTACCCTTCCCCTTTAGTCTGGAACTTCATGTGGGTGATTCTGCCTTGCTCACTCCACATCCTAGTGTTTGGTGTGGGCTTCACACAAAGTAGGGCAGCAGCAAATATTTTATCAATGAATGAATCAATGAACATTGACCATGTGCCAGGTCTGCAGTAGGACTCATTCTAATTAGTACAAGTCTGTAAGGATAGCTTATACCCCCATTTTGTAGGCGAGGAAACAAAAGCTGGAGGAGTACAACAAGGCTCAGTGGTGAGGCTGGGAACGGGCTCTTCTCCCTACCTTGGTAGCTGCCCCACTGTGGTGTTGAGGACTTTGGCTTCCCATGCACTGTTCCCTTGCCTCAGGCCTTCCCTGATCTGATTGATGACTCAGGTGGCAAATGGCTTAAAAGAAAGAGAAGGAGGAGGAGAAGGAGGAAGAGGAGGAGGAGGAGGAAGAGGAGGAGGAGAAGTGTTTTTCTAGTTTGTACACAGCTCTAGAGCTCTGATTCTGTTACTTCAACATATAAGAATGTGGGTTAACTCAAGGTAAAACACCTGGGTCCAAGCACCACTTTTCCATCTTTTGGCCACAGAGCCTGTAGGTTACCGTCAAGTCCCCCGGGTCTAGTCAGGCCTCAGGGACCTTCCTTTTTTTCCCCTGAACTGTGTTTCTTAGAAAAGCTATCCGGACTGCAAGTTCTGTATTAAGTGTGGGGGGAGATCCAGCTTAAAGAAAGAGCTGAGAATGAGGAAGGTTTTTCTACTATCCCAAGGGAGCCTGATGCCCACACCTTGGGTGGTCTGGGTAGAGCAGGAAGGTGCCTGAAGGGGAACCTACTGAGAATGAGCATTGTCATTGTTAGGTGAGGCTGAATTCATCCAACCAGTTCAGGACAAAGTGGGTTGGCCTAGAAGTCCTCATTTCAGACAAGGGCTTCCTTCAAAAGCTTCCTCACCGGCCTTGAGGTCTCCCTATGGTTCTTATTCTTCACCTGTTCCTTTCCTTCTTTCCTCTGTCGTGCTGGTCATGAACCCAGGACCTCTATAGCTCCAACACCGAGCAAAGTCCACCTCCCCACCCTCAGCCCTTGCTTGTTTCTTTATAACCCACAGACCACTCCTGACTCAAGGAGTCCAGTCATTCCACATGACCTTGACACCATCTCCACTTCTCTGCGGGCGCTAGTTTTCCTATTTGTGATAGGGAAGTGCCGGACTCAAGAGTTTTTTGTTCTTTTCCAGTTGACCCCACGTTCTCTGGCTAAATGCTCTCTAATAGGGAGCCATTAAGTCCTTTGCCTGGTAATTTGAGGCTATTTCCACCTGTCCCCCTCCAATGGCATAGGCCTGGCACCTGCGGCCAGTTTAAAAGGACTTATTCATGCTCAATTTCTCAGCGCACATTTAGCTAACTAGGAGGGAGGGTACCTAAGGGACCGAGAAGAAGCAACATGGGGAATTCTGCTCACTACCCCATCCTCATCGCAAATAATCCCACTTGGAGTGTTGACTCCTGAGAAATTCCCATACAAACGGTGCAGTCGCAGACGCCGGCTGGATGCGGGGGAGGGGGCGGCTCGTGCGCGTGCGTCGGCGCAGAACCCGCTCCCGCCCACGTGCGCGCTCCCGGGAGGAGGCGCGCGCCCCAGCGGGCTGGCGGGAAGGCGCGCGGGAAGCCCCCAGCTGCCTTCTCGGCGTGTGGGGGGGGAGGGAGACTGGGAAGCGTCTGGAACGTTCCACTCTCAGAGAGAGCCGGGGGAATCTTTCGAGCCCCGCTCCCGTTTCCATCCTTCCTCTCCGCTGATCAATCCATGAAATTTACCCCCTTCTCACACTGAGATCCGGAGCCCCGTGGCGCGGCCCCGCTCCCCCTGAAGCCGGCGGTGGCCAGAAGCGCTTCCCTCTGCCGCCGGGGCGGGGCGCTGTGGCGCGGGCCGGGGCCGGAAATTCCCGCGGCCTGAGTGGTTGGCGGAGCCCTAGCGGGGAGAGCAGCCCCGCCTTCCTCCCCGGCCGGGCGGGGGCGTTGGGCAGCGCGAGGGCCTGGTTGCCCGAGTGGGTGGGGGGCCGCCGCGTCAGCCAGCTGCAGCCGAGCCGCGGCAGGCGGCAAGCGCGGACGACGGCGGCCGCTCCTCCTCGGCTGCCCCGCGAGCTGCGAGTCCCCCCAGCGCCCCCGCTCGCGGCCCCCGCCCCCTAGCCGTCCCCGCCTCCTTCCCTCACACACCCCCCGGGCCGCCCGGGCCCCAGGCCTTCCCGGCGCTCCTCCTCCCTCTCTCCACACTCTGCTGCGACCCGGGTGCTGCTGCCGAGCTCCTGCCTCGCTGTCTCCGGGGCGAGTTCTCCTCCTCCCGAGGCTCTCCTTTCACACACACGCGCGCGCGCCCTGGCTCTCTGGGCCGCCCCCTTTTCTCCAGCCCTCCTCACCCTCACAGTCCTTTAAACGCCGCCGTCGGGGGTGGGTGGAGGATTGATGTCCCTTCAGCATCATGCAGCCGCCGCCGAGGAAGGTAAGGGCGCCGCTGGCGGGGGGCTTTGGGGATTTGGGGGGTGGCGGTGCGTACAAAGAACGCGGCTGGGGCTACCGCTGCGCCCCCTCCCCCTTCCCGCAAGGGGCCGTGACCGCTCTCGCCTCTAGGCTTGTCACTGAGTTGCCGCCTGCTCCAGGCAGGGGGTCCAGTGTGTGAGGTGTCTTTCCGTCTGAGGGCGGCCAGTGCTTGTCCACTGCACTAAGGATTACCACCCCTCCACCCCGGACATTTGCTAGAGTTTTTTTTTTTTTTCGGGCATGCTTATGTGTGTCTGTCTGCATGGCAGTGTTGCCCAGTGCAAAGTGCATTCTCGGGGCTGCACAGAGTGGAGGCGGGGGAGCCCCTGCAGATTTGCAGCGCCCTGTGCGTGTGGGATTGTTTAGTCTGAGCCAGGTTCGAGTCCTCCAGTTGCTTGTCGACACCCCACCCATTGGCACATTTGCGCGCGGGGGGTGTTGTTTCAAGTCTAGCCCCAAAATTTGGCCTGTTTTTCCCACGGGGCTGGGAAAAGAAGTTGGTACGGTCACCGCCCTCCCACCCCAAGGGAAGGCAAATTAAGGATTGACGGGTCCTGTCCTCCCCCCCCAGCCAGCCCCGCCTCCAGCTAAGGGGCCAGGGAAACGGAGCTTCCAGTATGAAAGGCAGAACCTGGCGATGCGTGGCTTGAGCACTAGGGCTGGGGTTTGCATGGCCGGGGTGGCAGTGACGGGTTCTCTGGGGCTTGCCAGCAGCTTCCCCCGCTACGCCGCCCTTCTCCACCTTTCCTGGCGGCTAAGGCTGTGTCCTTGTCTTTGTAAATCTTTCAGATGGATACTAGATTCTACTCTGATCAGTGGGTAGAGACAGTTATATCTTCCCCTCGTAGGCAAACATTCGCCACATGAGTAACTCATCGTCTGTTTCCTTTTCCTTTCTTAATCTGGATTTCTCCAGTTAACTCATCCCCCCACCCTTTTCCCCTGCACGTGTACCCCACCTCTCCACGTCGCTTTGCCTTGGTGGCCAGGATTCCACCATACTCGCAAACTGCTTGCAACCCCCGGGGTCTGGCCTGGCCGGGGAGTCTCTGGCCAGCTGGCTTTGGCGGTTCTCGCTGTTTGAAGTGGGGCTGCCACCTGGCCTGGCTTACTGGGTTAGTTTAAAAGCCGTGCATATTATGGAAGGTCACTTCTGCGTTTTCCTTTGTGAGAAAAAAATTGTGATTTGATGCGCTGTCAGAGTGGAGGGCATCATTCTGAGACAGTGTTCTTTCTAGCAGCCATTATGGAATATTTTATGTAATTTATGCATGCATAATATTTCATGATTGTATAAATTTAAGTCGCTTGGTATTAGGTACTGTATACTTTCTTTCATCTGTGTTCACTGCTCCTGGTGGTTAATGTCTGTATCTTTGGGAAGAAAGAGAAGACAGAATTGACAGTTTTCACTCTTTAACATGTAATTTTTGAATTTTTAGTCAGTCCCTGTTTTAGAATTTCTGGCTAATTTTTTCGTTAACCATAGTTAATAAAACTAGGTGGCAAATAATGAATTTTTTAGTCTTCATGGATAGGAAAACTAGAAGTATACAGTCTAACAAGTACTGTTATTTTAAGGAATTTTTCTTGTTCAAATCGTAGCAAAAGTCTTTCTAAATACATGCTATGTTTTAGGTGAAGGTTACACAAGAACTGAAAAACATTCAAGGTGAGCAGATGACAAAACTTCAAGCCAAACACCAGGCAGAATGTGATTTACTTGAAGACATGAGGTAAGATCACTAAAGAGTTGAAGAACTGTTGTATCTGCCACTGAGGACCTTTGAGTTGCCAGGCTCCAGGACCTGATGATGGAATTTCCTTTTGGATTTCCTGCTTTCAGGCTGCAGAATTTTGACTCAGCTGGAAGTTAGAACTGGAACTAACACAGTGCAAACTTTTCCTAGTGTATACATGCTACTGAAAAATAAGGGCTTTCAGAATGAGTCTGTCATTCAGTTTGTACTCAACTGAAAATTCTTACATCTTTTCACCAAGTTGTAAGTCATTTATTGTCTTTAGCAATCCTACACAGACCTTTAAGTTGATACTTATGGTTAATATCTGGGATGAGCCAGTTACCCCTGGTAAATTAATGTTTGTTAAAACATGGCAAGTATAATTTGGTCTAAGTGCGTAATTCAGTGAGAACTATTTGTCATGTTTTATTAAAGCTACCTATATTCATAATCAGGAGAACTCTGAATGTAACAGATAAGACATTGTGCTAAGATTGTGAAAATGAATGTTATAACTGACTAGTAAGATGAACATGGTGGCACCTATCTGGACTCCCAGTAACCCCAGCTCTCCAGAGGCTGAGGTAGGAAGAGCACAAATTCAGGGCCAGCTTGGGCTACAAAGGGAAACACTTTTTCAAAAAAGAAAAGAAAAGAAAAAAAAGAGAGAGAGAGAGAGAGGATATTGTAAAAATGAGCAGAAAGTAGGAAATGTTTTATAAAGGAAGTGCCACTTGTTTTTTTTTTTTCTTTTTCTTCTTTAAAAATTTTTATGGGACATGGTGTCTCTGTTGTAGCCTCGGCTGTTCTGTAACTCACTGTGTGACCAGGTTGGGTGGAACTCACATTCTCCTGCCTCTGCCTCCCAGTAGTGGGATTAAAGGCATGCACCACCTGGCTAGAGAGATGACTTAGCCAAAGGACCTGAGTTTATTATCCGCAGTGCCCACATGACAGTTCACAGTTGTCTGTAACTTCAGTTCCAGGGGATCTGACATCCTCACATAGACATACATGCAGACAAAAACACCAATACACATGAAATAAATAAGTCATTAAAAAAAAATGTGTGCACCACCACACTTGGCTTGCCACTTGTAGTACAAATTTTTTTTTTTTTTTTTTTTTTTTTTGGTTTTTACGAGACAGGGTTTCTCTGTATTGTTTCGGAGGCTATTGGTCCAGCCCGGCCTCGAACTCACAGAGATCCGCCTGCCTCTGCCTCCCGAGTGCTGGGATTGAAGGCGTGCGCCACCACCGCCCGGCTACAAATATTTTTGTAAAGGCTAAAATATGATTTGCATGTTTAAATAGAGCAGCTCCAATTCTTATTCTTACAATGTAGTTATCAAATTAGGATTAAAGCTGTGAATCATCAGTTGGCTGTGTCCCCCATAGTATCCTAACATCATGTTTCATGAAAAACATTACCATATATTGTTAGGAGAAAATTATGTATATTTTGGATAGCTGAGCTATTTATGGCTCAAAGATTTTAAAGAATTTCCCCCTCATGTTTACTTTAGATACAGTTTATGAGCATTTCTTCAATACAACTGTTTTCATATAAATCTGTTTTCATTCATTTCGAATATACCAGGGTTGCTTTTCTGACTGGAAAGAGCTCTGTTTCAATTCTGAGTTTCACTTTTAAAATAATAGTTTTTTGTGTAAGTGTGTGTGTCTTTGTATGTGCCATGTATATGTGTATATATATATGGAGACCAGAAAAGGGTGTTGAATCTCTTGGTGCTAGAGTTGTAGGCAGTTGTAAGCTACCTAATGTGGGTGCTGGGAACTGAACTCAGGTCTTCTAGAAGATCAGGAAATGCACTTAACCACTAAGCCATCTCTCCAGCTTCTTGTTTCTCTTTTTAGTTTATTTTTTCTTACTGTGACCTTTTTTCCAAGTTTTTTTATGATCTCTACAGTGTTCTGCCGGCATGTATGCCTGCAGGCCAGAAGAGGACATTGGATCTCATTATAGATGGTTGTGAGCCACCATGTGGTTGCTGGGAATTGAACTCAGGACCTCTAGAAGAGCAGCCAGTGCTTTTAACCTCTGAGCCCTCTCTACTACCTTGGGGATTTTTATGTTGTACTAATCATTGAACCCCAGGACATTGTATACATTAAGCATGTGCTGTATCACTGGGATACATTCACATCTTCCACAAGTAAGTTTTGGCATTAAATCCTCTGTAAGATAATAAAACTTGCTATGGTTAAAAATTCAATTTTAGAGATCTGTTAAGCCTAGTATTTCATAGAAATCTCTAGATAAAAGAAATAATCAATTTTCAGGAAGATTTCAAGAAGGAAAAGTTAGTATATAAGTAGAGATCTTTTGTGGGCATGTCATGAAGTCTCATTGATGGTGTCATATAAGGATTTCATATTTCTCGTTTTTGTTTGTGCCATAGTACAAGAGCTTAAGGTCAGGAGTCTAGACATTGGAGTCATACAGTCTTGGATTTCTGTCCAAACTCTTTTACCTACTAGCTGTGCTGACTTTTCAAAATTG